TTTCCACCACTCCAGCAGGCCCAGCTTTGCTGTGGATTTTTGCTCTCCATTCCCCAGCTCCTACCAGCCCTGGAATCACGGGCCCGCTCCCTCCCTCGCTGACCTTTTCGCACTGGATGGGTTTTTAAAGGTCCCTCTGAGCAGCAGCTGCCGTGTGGCTTTTTGGGTTTTTTGGTGTTTTTTATGATGGGCCTGGAAATTAATTTCTTTTTCACTGGCACTGGACTATCCATTCCCCACGTCACAGTGCAGAATGAGCTCGTAACTCTCTCGACTGCCTCACGGCTGAGTTATGGGGTCTTCTGCAGCGTAGCCCAAAGGGTTTAATTTAACAGTGGATATTTGAAGAAAGCAATGGAGTTCTGACAAGTGTGTGGTACTTTTGCTGTCTGTACACTTGGAAAGCTTTTTTTTTTAATGTTTGACTGAAAGATTCCTTGTTTTAAATTAAGCTCAGGATTTCTTGTCCTTTCCACAGGTAGGATTGGTTTTGGGTGGTTTTTTCCCTTTCCTTTTTGTTTGTCTGAAGACTGTAACCATGTCTCCATCCTCTCTACGCTCAGCATCACAAATGCTTTCCATCCTTCTTTGCCAGCTATCTCCTATAGATTTCCAGTCACTGTTGTCTGTCTCCTCTGGACTGTCTCCAATTGTTCACACCGTCTGGGAGATCAGCATCCCAAACTGGACAACATGTTCCAGCTGAGACCATAACAGGGCAGAAGGCACTCAAGGGTAATTTGGACTTACTTACACATGACATCTTCTTTGTGCTTCGATCCTGGTTGCCCTTGGCGTGATCTTGAGCCTGTTTTGGGGCAAGTGGGGTGAAGTGTTTCAGTTACTGTCTGGGCCACCTGTTGTGGTCTCCTTGTTGCCGTACATGGGCACTAATAAGGCCATCTGTCGTAGGAACCTGTGTCTCGGATTGGGGATGCTTGGGTGAGCTAATATGAAAGGACAAAAAGCGCTGGCTGCTCGCAGGAGCTGGAGCTTGTTAACCCCCCCTGCAGATGCTCCTCCATACACTTCCCTTCATGAGACCATTTTAATGTGCCTGTTAATGTGCATCCTGTGCTGAATCCCACCTTAGATGATTTGCCATGGCTTTCCCAAGTGTCTGTGTGCAGCCGGATTGAGCTTGTCTTGCATGTCCAGAGACTGGAAGAGCCACCAGTGACTTGGATTTAAACCCCTGTATAAGATATGGTTTGAGGTCAGTCCCTGGCCATGCCACTGGTCCCTTTGCTGCCTGTTTAATGTTCCTTCCCTGTGGGAGGCAGTTGGTGATGTTGTGTCCACTAGAGCACTCTTCTCCTTGCAGAACTGTGGAGGAGCCATGGGGAAAGAAACCAAGTCCTTGCTCTTTCCTCATCCGTAGCTCTGCCTTTGTCATTTTCCCTCACAACCATCAGCTGACTCATGCTTTTTTTTAAGGCCCAGCTTGTTTTTGGTCCCCTTAATGAGTAATAACATCTTAGTGACACTGTCCTGTGGCTTCGTCCCTTGCAGGGCAGCATCTAATCCTGTGGTGTTTGCTCAGTTGAATGGGTCACTAGTTTTACTGGACTTGCATAAAGGACATGATATGGATCTGAAGGGCTGGGCTCTTGTAAGAAGGTGATTATAGACTCACAGAATCATTTAGATTGGAAAAGACTTCTAAGATCATCGAGTCCAGCCATTAAACCAGCACTGCCAAGTCTCCAAGAGTCTTGGGGACTAAACCATGTCCCCAAGTGACACATCCACATGTTTTTTGGACACTTCCAGGGATGGTGATTTCACCCCTTCCCTGGTCAGCCTGTTCCAGTGCTTGAACACCCTTTCAGTGGAGAAATTTTTCCTAATATCCAATCTAAACCTCCGCTGGCAAAGCTTGAGGCCATTTCCTCTCGTCCAGTCCTTTGTTACCTGGGAGAAGAGACCGACTCCCACCTGGCTACAACGTCCTGTCGAGCAGTTTGTAGGGAGTGATGAGGTGCCCCCTGAGCCTCCTTTTCTCCAGAGTAAACAACCCCAGCTCTCTCAGCTGCTCCTCACTGGACTTCTTCCTCCATCTTGGCTTTGGGGTGTGGAGAGCAAAACTGAGGCATCCAGCTGTGAAGCAGGATGGCAAATAAGAGTCACAAACAGGGCAGGATTTGATCCCAGCCTGCCTGCTTGTAAGCCAGCCCACCTGGAGGTGGAAGAAAGAGCAGGTTGAGCTGGAAAAGGTGAGTAAGAACCCTCAACCTCTTGGGGGAAGGAGGGACTGAGGTCCTTGAGTTGTTCTCCTCTTGTTCAGGACTGGGCCTAAACTAGAGCAGGGATCTGACAAGCCCTGAAGACCTTACAACATTCCAGCAACCGGGATGGAAATGCAGATTGACTGTGATGCTCTGGTGTAACTCCTCAGGTGATGCTTTGTGTAACCTCTGTCTCAGTGGAAATGACCGGAGACCCTGAGAAATCCTTAGTGTTTCTCAGGATTCACCCCCAAAATGAGTAAGTAAATCAGTGTAACTGGCTTGCCTTGCCTTTAGCAGTGTGTTTTAGGCAATCATCTCTTTCTGGAGTCACTTGGACCCTGTTTGCAGTCCGAATACTGACAAGTTCCATGGGACAGCCCCCGTCTCCACCTCAAACGTGTCTCCTGGAGTCAGACGATTAGATGAGACTCTTTTTCATCTAAGTGCTTTTTTTATCTTTCTAATCTGTGGAGGGAAGCTGGCAGATATCATCTTTGAAGGTAAGGAAAATGGAGCCAACGTTTTGTATTCCAGAAATCTCATTATTTTCCGACTAATATGCTGATTTTAGATGCTGGGGTTTGGCAGTGACACAAAGGTCATTGCTGAACAAAGCAGAAGCAGGCCCATCCTGGAGAAGCCTGCATGGGTAAAATATGCATTTTCTATGGATGGAAAACATGAATTCTCTGGGTCATGTCAAGGAATGAAGCATGGTGGGTAATTTCCCTTTGGCTCTGACTTGATGAAAGCTTTTACGAGAGGAAAAAGTGTGTTTTAAGAAGTTACTTGATACTTATCTGTCCACAGTGCTTTTCCCAGGCTGGATTTGGGGAGGGATTATCTCAGATTTTCATTTAGTTTTGAAATCCTGGGTATTGGTTTTATAAACTAAAACCCCTTCGCAGCAGGTTGCTTGTTCTGCCTTGTTGTTTTAGCTTGATGCATAGGAAGGAATTTAAATTTCCTGAGCGGATGGGGCCCGGGCCTTGCTGGGGTAAATCGGCATCGTTCAAATATTTAAAGGCAGATGCATCAATACTGGCAGCTGAGGATCTGGCTTACTTTGATTAAAATCTGATTGAGATTACTCAGCCTTGCCAAGGGACTTGGATTACCAGTCTATAAAAAGAAGAGGAGGAGAGGAGAGGGCATTAAATATAATAATAATCCAATGAAGGACGTGAAACTCAACTCACTGCAAATTGAACAGTAATGAAAACGTCCTCCTTAAGCAGGTGGAGCAGCAGGGCTTGCAGGCAAGCAGTGGGCTTGGAGCTGGGGCTGAGGTAGAAATATTGCTCCTGGGTTTCTCATGGGCATGGCCTCATCTTTTAAAGGCAGATTTTTTTTTTTTCAAAGGAGGGCCTTGCTCATTAAAAAATCCCCGCGGAAACATTGCGGGAGGAGATGTGGGTGACAAATCCTTCGGAAAATCCTTGCCTCTGCTTCCTCAGGAGACCTGGGCTAGTGCCAAATCTCGCTAGCAAAGAGGTGATTGAAGCTGAGGAACAGAAAATCAACTCTCTTACAGATTTCAGAATGTGAAATGTGCTTTTGTCTTTAGGGCTTCTTACAGGGGTTGAATTTCAACACTCTGCTTCCATTGCAGCATTTTTTTTTGCCCTAGCTCTTCATTCTTTTTTAAATGTAAAGAGTATTTAAGGGCTGTTGTTAGGCTGTGGGATCAGGCTCAGTGGCCAGCGACTGATGGGGACACTGCACCAAGCCCGTTGCTTACTGGGCCGTTTCAGGAGTCTGTCAAACAACTTGGCACGTGTCTGGATTTCCCAAGACTTCCAATGTTTATGGTCCCTAAACCCTGGTCTAGTGGAAGGTGTCCCTGCTCATGGCAGAGGGGTTGGAACTAGGTGATCTTTAAGGTCCCTTCCAACCCATTCTGGGGTTCTATGGTTCCCTGTGCTCCTGTGAAGTGCTGTAGCTATTGGTAGGGCTGGCACACTTGGTTTTGGAAGCCCCCAGACCCCACTGAGGATAGCAGATTTCTCCCTCCATTTTATGGAGCACGCTGGCCTGCTGGGATGGGAAGCACATCCCTTGCTGATCTCTGTAGAGGACACATGGGAGGAGATCTATGGAAGTTGCAAGGTTTGAGTGTCCTTTTGTATCCAAGACAGGCCACAGTGAGCTGGATGCACGGAGGGCTATCTTGTACAGGACCTCTCCACAGAGACTGGAAGATGCTTTGGCTACGTCAGAGGGCTCTGGGAGCCTGGAGAGTGGGGGTGGGGCTGAGTGGCCTTAAAATAGAATATTAGAATCCTAGAATGGTTTGGCTTGGAAGGGACCTTAAAGATCATTTTGTTCCAACTCCCCTGCCACGGAGGGGTGACATAAGCTGAGGCATCTCAGAGTGCTGAGGGGAAGGCAAGGGGGTGGTTGTGGGACCTCCTGGGCAATTACATCCATGGATGGTCAGAGATATCGCCTGAGTGCCCCGGCAGTGATGCCAGTCTGTCTGGGTTTCTTTAATCAGAATCAGGGTCAGATGAGGATAAGATTGTGTTCTAATAAATATTTGTTAGCGAGTGCTTTCCCTTCTCCCCCCTCCCCCTCGATATTGTTAATTTTCCTTGCGGTAACACGTGTGTTCTTCAGCTTCTGCTGCTCCATGTGTCGTGCTCCGTTACTCCGTCTCACTCGCAGCCACGGAGGGAGCGGGAGGAGCACTGCCAAGGCTTTTTCTGGGAATTCGCTCTGGTCCTGCTGCTTCCCTGGGAGTGCTCAACCGATGTGGTTTTTTTGCAGGGGGAATAAAATGCTCAGCTGTCAGCTACCTGAAAGGACAGTGCAAGACCGAGGCAAGGACCAGCTGCTCCTTTGGCTCCGTGTGCAGGTGCCCACACAGCCAGGGTAAGCTTTGGACGATGGCTTTTGGGAGAGGAAAGTTGCTAAGCAGTAAAACGTGACCTTCTTGCCCTGTTTTAAAAGATGTGAGGCTTTGCTTGAGGCATCCTTAAAATAAAGGTAGATCCCCCTCACCTTTCCCGGGTGGGGAAACCACGGGCTACAAACAGCTGTGATACTCCGTGGAAAGGCACCCCTCTCTTTCTGGAGACGTGACTATGTTTGCACTGGGTGTGAAACAGTGTTTAAAAACATTGTTAATTGAAATGCACTGGCGAACACGTTTTTCAGACACCTGCTTTCTTGCTAGAGACAGGATTATCCCTTCCCAGACTGAATGGCTGCAGGGAAGGTGGAGCTGCAGGCAGTGCTCTCTGCAGCGCCTGGGCCCTGCGCTGGTTAATGTGAGGCTGAATTTCTGATGACTCAGAAGGGAGCTTGGCTGCCCCTCAGCTGTTTGCAGATCTGAGGATCAGTGGGTATGAACCAGCACTGCGTTGAACAGAGCTGGGACCAAAAGCCAACTCAGTCTTGAAAGTGCCTATAAAAACAAGCAAGGTTTTTAGGGTTCCCAAGTGTCATGTTTGCACATGGCACTCGCAGGCAAGTCCCAGAAAAATAATGAAGTGGATACTAGGCAGGGATTCTTGCTGTTCCCTTCAGTTTCTTTCAGGCCATGTGAGGGAGTGGGGGAAATTTGAACCATCTGATGTATGTTAGTAATGAGAGAGATGAATGTTGTGTATAAACAGGGGCTTTACCACTGCAGGAGCTGGTGATATTGAGTATCTTATACTTTCTGACATATAAGTCCTTCCTGGTCTGGAATCTTCTGTCAAATATTTTTGCACACAAAGCCCAAGGAATATTGGATGGGAAAGCCCCCTTTCCTGTGGGACATGCCTGGAAGCCTTTGCTGCCAGGCCATAGCAACTTCAAAGCTCTTGGCCACCAAAGTGGGCCAGAATGACACAGGATTGGTAAGCAGTGGTCTCTGGTTTGTGTAGCTCCATGACCCACCCCTGTTCCTGCAGCACCTCTGTGCTCGCTCAAGGTGTTTCACCTCAGCTTTGAGTTATCTTCAGGTTGTTCTCTGAGCTCCTGGGCTGTGCTTGACCCGCTGTCCCACCTGGATTTCTTCTCTCTGAGGTCTCTAAGAATTGGACAGGGCAGCTGCCCACACTCATTTGTAACACCCTTTCCTTCTTCCCTTTTTTTCCCCCTGAGAAAACAGGGTTAACGTGGTTTTGGCTCCTTTTTGCCCACTCCTAATAACTTTCCAACCTGATGGCTGATTGCAGCTGTTCGTGCCAGAGATCTTAAAGATAACAAGTTCCTACCAGCTTGATATAAATAGAAGGCCAGGGAGAAGACTTTATCTTTGCCCCTCTATGCAAGAAGAGTTCAATCCTTATCAGTCCAAGGGCATCTGTGTGTGAGAGAAGGAGGAAGAGAGATGTTATGAGTGCCTGTGGGGAAAACTGCACTTGGAGACAGTATTCTACTGCATCCTGGGGAATCCCACCAAGATGTCTAAATCCATGTAAATGGAAGTACTTCTGGCCCTGCAATGGGCTGAGCCCTGTGTGAGGCTTTCTGCTGTTTGCTTTCACCACAGCCTTTCATCAGATAATGAAAACAGTGATGTGCGTGGTGTTACCAGCCTGACTCTGAGGAAGAAGGCCTGGAACAGGAGCCTGGCACAGGAGTAGAGGGTTGCAGCCTGCTTCCCAAGGGGATGAGGCTATTTTAGCCTCTGGCTAGTTGATGGGCCATCTTTCTGTTGCAGCAGCACTTGCTTTCCCTGGAGGATAATCCCTGTTTCTCGGATGGGCCTCTGGCTCATCACCCAGCTCCTTTCCTGCCCTCTTTGCCTTCTACAGTAAGCTGTTTAATCAAGGGTGTATCAAGATCCATCTGTCTACGCTGGTGTCAACAACTTGGCTTCAGGGACATTTTAAATCATTTTCTTACTGCATTGTGTAATGGATTTTGTTGCTGAGAGAATGGAAAGCAGGGCAGCAAAGGTGTTTTAATTACATCTGATTGTGGCATCTTGCAGACTTGCCCTGTCAGTTGTTCTGGCACAGCACCATTTAGAGCCTGCTTTTGCCAGCACAGGCATGTTATCTGGGGATTTACTGATCACAGAGGATCATTGCTATTTTTCACTCCTGCCATCATCTTGGGGCTGTGTCTTCTTTCTCTAGCTTGCTTTTGTGGCATCAACTTCTTCCACATTAGAGAATTTTAGTCCTTCCTTATCATGTCACTTGGAAGCAGTGAAAACCACAGTCACCTGCCTGTTGTCTGAGTGTCATATCTGGGCAGAGCAGAGGTGCTTTGCTTGCTCTAAGAACCTGTGTTGCTGCAAGAGAAACGTCCCTCTGAACCTTTCCCCAGCTCACATCTTCGTTTCACAGCCTGTCAACATAAAACCAGCTTCTCTTTTTCTGAATCAGGCAGGGGAAGATTGAAATGGTGTCTCCAGCAAGACTATTTGGAAGAAGGAGGGAATGAGACAGGGAAAGTTGCTGGTCTTGCTGGGCTGGGACACCCTGATCAGACCCATGGGGCCAGATCAACGGGTGGAGTAAATCCTGGGAAAGGCAGGAGTGTGGTAGGTGCAATAAAGCACATTTTTGGAAGTGCTTGCTCACCACACAACAGGAAGTACAGCTTGTACACGTTGAAATGGCAAGAGCTATTGTACCTGTCCGTGTTTTAGGTGTATTTGCACTGACACTCGGGGCTGGTGGTTTGTGCAATGCTGCCTGTGTGTTTTCTGGAGCATTCGGCAGGTAGCAGCTCCCAGTGCCCTTACTTTGACCTGCCTTCCCAAAGCGTTTAACAGGCAGTAACTGTTTGAATCTAACGTGGGGTTTGGAGGAAGGAGAGTCTGAGGAGGAGGAGGGTGGAGTTAGTGTCATTTTTCTGTATAACTGCTAATATGTGCTTCTTACCAGAGCTTTTGGCTCTGACTTAATAGGTACCAATCCACAATTTTTCAATGCTAGAGCGTGTTTGTGGTCCTGACAACACTCATCTGTGTCATTTCCTCCTCTTAAATAGATATAAGCTCAGCTGCAGATTAGAAGTGCTTTGTTTGTGATTTCTAGGTGCTCTACACTTGATGCATCATCTTTTGACAGACACAGGGCAAACTGTGCTCCTCCCTTCTGGCCTGGGTTGCAATGATGGATTAAGTAGGTAAGTAATAGAGTGGTAATGAGATAACCACTGACATCGAGCATTAACGTGGGAATAAATGAAGTTACCATCCAGAACTAATGGCCTGAACTATCACTGGGTTGTAATTAATGAAGGTGGTGGCTGAGATTTACAGGGATATCTTAGGATGCTGCTTGCATGCAGCTTTGGGTTTTATGGCTTGGTTGGAGAGAAATCAGTTAATGCCAAGAACTTAATGAATGGGCAGAAGCTGTTCTTTGTCAGTTTGTAGTGCCCTTTTTGTGGAAGAGGCCAGACTGGCACATGTGGATTATCTGCCTTTTCATTACTTCAGGATGTGGAAGAGGGTGGGATGCTGTGGCCCCTGACTCTGGGTCACTCACTCTTTCAGTGCAAGGTATCTTGTAAGTCTTGTTTCTTCTGTTTTATTAGGGCAGATAGCAGGAGCCCTGGTGCAAACAACACATTTGAAGTGAACCCATGGACGAGTTTGCTTGTATGTAGAAGAGATTGCAGATGACAGGAATTCTCCACCCAGGACCTCTGAACTGAGCAATGACAAGCTGCCCTGTTCTGCCCTGTGAAGGTGGGACATCTGGTTCCTTCTTCAGGTCTCCTCCTCCCTGTGGCTCTGTCTCCTGCATGTCACCCCCTCCCTTGCCCTGCTCTGGTGTCCATGTGATCCACTGATGGCCTGCACCTCTGCATGAGCTTCCTGGAGCAGGAATTGAGGTGTCCAAGCTGCACACAGGCAGTGTGTCCCTGCCCAAGACCCATCCCTGCCTGCTTCCTTGGCATGTAACCCTGCCAAATGCTTCTCCATGTGTGTTACACTTAGGAAGTGGTTGCTAGGCTCTTGCAGGAAACACAGCAGAGCAGTCAAAATTCTTCATGGTAATTGGTAGGAATACTCCAGTCACCTCACTGCTGCCTCCCTCATCTTTCCATGGCAACACTCTCCCTACAGCAGCCCAGGTGCTTGTGGTTGGATATAGTAGGAGTTTTTGAGCTCTCTGTCTTCCAAATCGTCCCTTGGAGCATGGAGGGAACATCTGTACTTTTAAAGGATTGGCATCATGTGATACATCAAGCAGCTTCCCTTGCTCTCACCACATTCCTGTTTTATGCTGTCAGAGACAGAAAACTTTGGAAACATGCCTGAATTGAACCCTTGCATATCTTTTGTGGAAAGAACTGTTGCCCTGTTTTTTTGCAGTGGGAATGTAAAGGTGCTGAAAGAGTCCTGAGTGTTTCTCTTCCTTCCCATGGCCTGAGCCATCACACCTCTCTGTGAGCAGGAGAAAGGAGTGGAACCACACTCACAGCATCTGGTGAGGAGAAAGAAATTCCACTTGCTGTGCCAGCACAAGCCAAGACCCAAACTGAACCAAGAAGGGACAGTGTATTCAGGGATATGTATTTTCCTCCCCCGGCCTTGGGAAGTTTATTGCCCTCCACAAAGAACACAGTGTGGTTGTCGTTCCTCAGCAGCCCAGGCGGGCTGTTAAATGACAAGGGAAGATTACCCAGTCTGTTCTCCAGAAGGCAAGTGAGTAGGAATTTTCCTCCAACTGATTCAGGACAAAGTTAATGTAGGGAAAGCCATTAAAATTAATGCTGGTAAACAAGGATAAAAACCAGCAGGGTTGTAACAAAATTTGGATCAGATTGGGTTTCCCAGCTGTCGTGCTGCTCGCTGTCTTAAAGGCAGTGGGCAGAGGGAGGGGGTAAGCTGAGCTCATGAAGCTCTTGCTGGAGGGGGCTGTGAGGTTGGGGCTGGGGCATCTGGGCTTCAGTGCCACCAGCTTTGTGCTCCAGCACTTCAATCCACTCGGGTGTACTGTCATTTTCTGGGAAGCAGTGATGCTGTTCTGTGTGATGGTTGTTCCATGGGGTATCTGTTCATGGTATGGTTATCTGCTGCTCTCCAGAGGCTGCCCTCAGCATTCAAGCCCTGCTCTAGATCTCTGGGAACATGCCCACGTGGTTGCTGGCAGCAGGTGATTTGTAAGCGTGTTTGGGAGCAGATCTTGGGCTGTTGGGGCAGTGACTTGCTCCAGGAAGATGATCCTGAGTTCAGATGGGAAAGGTGCAAAGGGCCACAGCAATTCCCCTCTCTGTTTTGACTACTCCAGTGGTAATGGGAGCATGCCCAGGTTGGGCAGAGTGAGGGTTACTGGGGATGTAGGTCCACTGTACCTGGAGGAAGGCTCAGGTTTGATGCCTGGTCTCATAGCCATGGTAGGTACAGGCTCAATGGGGCCCAGAGCATCCCAGGGAAAATATCCTGGCACAGGAGCTGTGTATCACGGCAGTCCTCTAGGCAAACAGCTTTTTCCAACCCCACAGCATACTAACAAAAGCCAGTCAACTTTTCCAGAACTCCTGGCACTGGATGTTCAGTTGACTTGACACTTTGGAATAGGTCAAATCCAGTATAACCAAGCCAAAATTTCTAGCCCCAGAAGTGAAGCAATGGCCCATATTTTCAAAAGCAGTCAGCCATTTCCTTGCAGTACCTGAGAGAACTGGATATTATGTTTGGAAAGAAAGAAGGTAACAGTCTCATCTCTGAGCACAGCCATCTTCAGCACAGATGAACAACATAGATGCCAATATCCATAGAAAACTTCCCAGTCCACCAGTCAGGGAAAACCACAGCAGGAAGATCCTTTGATTCCTCAAGAAGCATCATATCCCTTATATATCTCCCTGATGAGGCTGTGTTTGCTCAGATTTCACAATGATTTTGATGGCTCTGTCCTGAATGGTCAGGTTTTGCAGGGTGGGTTGGATTTTTGTGGGATCTCCACGCAGCAGCTCATCACAGAACAAAGTGAAGCTGCTGAGATGAGGAGCTGTGATGCCTCCAGCCCAGTGCAGAGAGCTGGAGCTGGGTATCTGAAGTCATCTTCATCAAAGAGGTGGAGGAGAGTCTGGGCAGGTCAAGACTGATGCTGGAATGGGAAGCAGCATGGAGGGAGGCCAAGAGCTCAAAAAGCTCTTCTTTTTGAGCCCTCATCCCTGTGAGAATCTACAGGCTGCCTCTACAGGGAGGCATCAGCCCCTTTTCACCAGTCAAGCTGCTGTCAGGTTGGTGCCTCAGAGGTGGGGAACTTTCTTTTCTTTTTCATGAGACTTCACCAAAGAATCAAGGTAACAGAATTATTTTTCTGTGACTATGTGAAACACTTTTTTTTTTCCTTTGGATTATTTGAAAACTAAAACTGTTCATGGGTTTTAAAATTCATGTCCCCTCCAGGTTGCTTTACTTTGTTTTGTTTCTTATTCCCTCTCCCTTATTCCTCAGAGGGAACCATCCAAACCTACACAGTGTGTTATTTCTTAAGGAAATGCAATCGTTTTCCAGTCAAACCTAGGCTAGAAATGCTTCTGGTGATTCATTTGTCTTGGGTGGAACAGAAACCAGGCTGATTCAGTGAGAGTTTTCTTCTGTGTGAAGACCCACTTGAGCGGGGGAGTTCTTTCAAAAGCTTTTTATTGAAAAAATAGAAGTTTTTATAGGCTTTGTCTGGGAGACCTGGGCTCCAGCCATTCTTTTGTTGCTGCTTCTTGTATGGTGCCAAGATCTGGAGCCTGGTTATCTTGGTCCCAGCTTCCCGTGCCTGCTGCTTTGACAGTCACTGCTTCCTCAGGGTGGGATGAGTAGGATGATGGTGATGCCATCTTTGCCTTGACTGCTCTTTGCACCACAAGTCTTTCTGAAGAACAAGAGTCACATGGGGGCAGAGCTGCCTTGAGTGCAGCAGGGACCCCCTGGTGAGGGGTCTGGGCCCTACATTCATTGTTAGGGTCTCCTCAAGCTCCTTACAACCAAGAACCCCTTTCTGAGGTTTCCTAGCATCCAGCAAGGTTCAGAGCCAGCCACCAGGAAGGCAGATTCAGTGGCAATAACCACCACAAGCAGTTCTCCCACTTTTAAACCAAGCCTGTTTAATGGTGTGCTCTTTGAGACACAGCTTTCTGTTCCCTCAGGCAACAAGGAGCTGTGGGAAACCCCCAGGCAATGGCTGAAATCAGATGAGCTGATATGTCACATCCCAAGAGTAATCCTGGTTTTTGAGGGCCGTTATTATCATCTCTGTGGGATGTCCCAGAGATAGCAGGACTAGCAAGGGGCCATCATGGAAACAGGGCTGGCTGGAGAAGCTCTGGCAGCAGGGATGCTTCACGGGGGACAGGAGTGGTGGCAAGTGCTGGTGTGACTGGGAAGAGAGCACACCAGGGGCTGGAGAGAAGAGAACACCCCTCCTGTAGTGACTGCTCTTCCAGCTGCCACCTCTGCTGTCTAGTGCTGGCCAGATCCATGGTGTAACTGCTCATCTCCAGTCCCTGCCTCCTCTGTGTCCCACGTGCTGGTTTTCCTATAAATAGTCCAGTGGGAAGCCACAGAGCCACCGCAGATGGCCCCCAGGTCCACGTGCAGTCTTGTGTGAGATCCCAGATAGGAGCTGTCAATTCCTTGCCTCGAGCCACCCATGAAACCTCATTAAAAATGATGTCCTCTTCCTTAACCCCCATCCCTTCCTCGCTTCCCATTCTGACTTGCCTGCATTCAAGCACCCTTATTAAACATGCACTTCTAAGCAAGGAGCGCTGACTTTCCCTTAATTGAGGCATAATAATTAGAGCATTAACACATTAGGAGGGTGAGACAGCATGTTTAGCTTTTGTGATTAATTATCTGAGGATTGTAATAAGTTGTTAAGACATTAATTACTCTGGCATGTTTATTGCTCTTTATTGCAGAACAGACACTTGGTGGCTGCAAGTGCTGGTTCATCTGGCAATGGAGTGAGAAGTGGGCTGGAGGGAGGAGACCACCCACCCACCCACCCACAGTGAGCTGCTGGTGGTGGGGACAGGGCAGGGGCATCCCCTGGGTGTGCCTTGGTGACCAAATAGGTTTATTTCTAACAGATGGATTTAGAGGTGATATCTAAGTCCCTTAGGGCAATCCAGGGACCTGGAAGGTCCTTTCTGATCTTTTAATCTGGATTTTTCTCCTCTTTTCAAATGCAGTGTTTCTTTCCTGGTGGTTTGAGCTCTCCCTGATTGGGCTCTTTGCGTTGCCGGGTTTGGTCAGTGTGGCTCAGTCTCTGTCTGGATCTTACCAGGAGGGTTGTCTGTATTAAAAACAGGCTGAAGTTTGGAGTGTCAGCAGTGGGCAGGGAATGAACCAGGACTCCCGTGCCCTCCCTCACCCCTCCATTGGATGAATTTTCTGCTGGATTTTTGGGAAGTAAGTTAGGGAAGGGTTTGGAGAGGTTTGAATTGATATAGCCTTCTCTTCACACTGCTCTGTGTCCCCTAGACAACTTCACGCTGGTGAGTAAGATTGAGTCTGATGGCTAGCTGAGGCCTGGAGGATGAGTAGTTCTTGTGTGTTCCTGAAACTCTGAGAAATAGAAAAGGCAGCCAAATCAGCAGGATGACATGGTGGGCCTGTTCCCAACCTTCTGCTCTTCCCATGAAATACTCCTGCTGAGGGACCCTCCCTGCCCCTGCAGATATCTGGGCTGGGGAGAACACTGGAGACACAGAGGCAGCCCCAACCACTGTCATGGGTAAAGAGATTTGGGAAGGTGATGGAAGACAAGAAGACAGGGAAGCTATGGGTGCAGTGTGTTGATATCAGTTTCCTTTGGGACCCCTGGACCTGATGTTTCTGATTTCCAGGCTGTTCTGTTATTGCAACGTGGGCTTGTGTCTCGGACAGCAGCTGATGGATGCAGGGGGCAGGAAGGGGGGCTTTCTCTGTTGCCTCTTTTTAAAGTTAAAAATTTAAAACATCAGTGATGATCCTGACTAGTCTTTATCCTTCCAGGATTGACCCAGTGGTCACTTTCCCTGTGGCTTCCACCAGCTTAAGCCAGTGTCACTGTCACTCAGTTGTCTGGATGGCTTGGGAGGAAAAATCCCTTCCCTGTGTACAGTCTGGGATCAGTCCTGTGTCAGCTGAATGTGATCTGCTGCCTTCAGCCCCTCAGAGCCCCAGCCTGCCTCTCCTCAGCCCAGCCTGGGATTGGCATTCACTGTCAGGTACCTGCTTCCTGCATTCAGAGTATGGGACGTGTCAGCCCAGCATTCCCAGCTCGGCTCTTGGGGGCAAGGCAGGTCCTGACTTATGAGTTTTAGCATTAAATAGAAAATTTCCTCTAGATGTGTGCAATAAGACAATGGCACTGACCTGTGATCCTGGCATTGAGCAGCGTTAATGACTCCCCTTTGCAGGTAATAAGCAGCAAATGTACACATTTTGGGGAGATCTGAATATTTTTTTCTTCCTTTTAAGACTGCTGTCTTCCTAGGCCAGACTTAATTAGTAGACCTCATTATTTCCTGAAATGTAACTTGACTTCCATTGAATGAGAATTGTTCAGTGGATGGGGAGCAGCAGAGCGGTGCTGCAATATTCATATTGTTTTAATTGCAACATTAACATTTCATGCCGCTCTTGGCACACTTTCAGGTGCGGCCCTTTAGCTCAATACCACATTGTGAAAGGCTGGATCAGAACAATTAGGATGGAGTGACTGGATTTCTGGATTTTCTTTCTTTTTTTTTTTCCTTTTATTTTAGTGAACATAAGCTTGGATTCAGTTCCCATCACTCCTTTTGTTGGGCAGAGCAGGGAGTCAAGCACCCCTGGAGTGTAAATCCTTTTTTTTTTTCTTTGGAATAAGGGATGTGCTGTAGGGCATGTTTGAATTGTCCTTTTGTGGAGCCGAGGCCCCGCAGGTACAAGCGATACCAGGCTGATGGCACCTCCTGGGACTTGACCTTTGCTGGGTGAATCAGTCAAGTCCCAAAATGAGTCTGGCCAGCTGGGCCAGTGTCACCACGTGTGAGCTGAAGAGAAAAAGGCTGTTTCTCTCTTCTCAGTTACTTCCAGGGCTTTGGAAGGCCTGAGGCTGGAAATGACGCTGTGAACAGATAACGACTGGGTCAGTGCAGATCCTAAATGAGCACAGATCCCTGCTCTGTCCACATATTGCATATAGGGTTTGGCTTTCCTGCAGCAGGGTCAGACAACCCTGAAATGCTGAGCTCAGCCTCAGCAAGCTCTGGTCACCTTTGCTGCCTTGCCAGGTACCCTACGCTTGCCCTTAAACTTCCCCATATCAGAGAGCAGTGAAGAGTGACAGGAGTTCCTGGCAAAAGCAACTCTGGATTCCACCCTGGAACAGCCTAATGAGGGTCTCCTAATTAGGTCACTGGAAGGGGCTGAGCAAGGAAGGCCAGCCAGCAAGCCTAGTCAGTGGCTTCTTGGTGTTGTTCTCCAAAGGTTGTATCACACTGTGAGATATGTGAACTTTAATTGACTTCAAAGGAGAACCAAGAGGCTGTTGTGTCCCCTTCAGCCTTTAAGAGGAAGAGGAAGGGTCTCTGTGGCTGCCTCTGTCCTGCTGAGAAAGGATAGCTTGCAGATCCATATGGGAGCTGGTGTGTGGGTCTGGTGGACAGCAAGGACTTGTGTATGGAGGAACAGGCTCCTTCTCACTCACAGCAAGTGCCACTAATCAGTCAACCTGCTAATGGGTAGCTTGACATGTAAGTGATCCTGCTCAGAGCTCACCGGGCGGCTGCTCGGGCTCTGGGCTGCCTTCCTGGCATTTGCTGGCAGCAGCCTGTGGATGAAACATCATGCTGGAAGGTGAAATCTCTGTCAGTGTGGCAGAGAGGCAATGGGAGGGTTGTGGGGAAAAGGAAGCTGGTCTGCCCATCAGTGCTTCTCCTTGGAGCCGGGCGTGTCCCTTCCACTTTAGGCAGCAGCTGAGCTCAACCGTAAGTGTGGGACAGCAATTAAAGTTGGAAATGCAGCAGGACTTTGGCTTGGCCACTAGAGGAAAGGCAAGGGAAGGGCACATATTCCATTTTCAAGGGCTTTCCAAGGGCTAACATGGCTTATTGACTGGCTGGCTTTCCTATGAGCTAAAAAGGCTTGAAACCTTCTCCAGCTAGTACTGTGTGCAGTGGGATCCATGAGATCTCATCTCCTGCAGATGTACAGTTTGGGTTTGGAGTCTCTGGTGTCTAGTAAGCTGTTTGTGCTGAATGGAGCATCTCCCCTTCCCGGGATATTTATAGCCTCTCTCTCTCCCACGCAGATTGTCTGATGTCTAATAAGGGATGATACACTACAGTTTGGAAGGTGCTAATGATGTCTCTCCTCTGATAGTCTATTCCCATGAAATTTATAGACTCTGACTGTCTCCAAGACCTCTGTTTCTCTGTCACATCAGGTTGAAATCTGTTTGCAGTGTCAGAAGTTGCTGGGGAGTGGGCAGAGGACAGACTGATGCAGCAGGATTGCATATGCTTTGCACTTCTTAGGAAACTAGGCTGAAAATGTACCCAGCTCTGTTTCCTGCAGATCTGGGGTGGGGGGCAGCTGTGGCTCAGATCACGGAATTGTGTGTTTGGGAAAGCAAGCTGGTTGTGTGGGAGGAAGGTGATGAGCTCAGAGATTACCCAGGAGGAGGAGTGCTCAGCCTCCACTGCCATGCTGTGGGTTCCTCAGGCACATTCGAGCTGCCTGGGGTGACCAGCAAGTGCAGAGCGTGGTCTCTTGTGGGAAACAGCCCCTGAGGAGGATAAACGAGCCAGCCCAGAGCTCGTGGCTGGTGTGAAGAATTGCCTGGCTAAAGGATAATGAATGCCACAGCAGGAGACAGAGCGTTTCTCTGAGGCCATTCATCCCCTTTATCACCCCGCTAACAAGCCCCAGAGCGCCTCTGGAGAGAGTTCTCTGGAGCAGCACCATCCCTCAGCCGTGCTGCTGGCTGGGTGCTGGGAGTCAGGGGCACGGAAAACCACAGACCACCCCCCCAAACAGCAGCCCTGAATTTGGGTGTCAGCAGTGAGGACAGTGCTGTGGCTTTGCTGGTGTGGAGCCCATGCCCTTCTTCGTGCTGTGCTTGGTGCCACCTGAGAGATCTGGATGTCAAAGCCAAGCATCCGTCTTTTTTTTAAAGTACTTATGGGCAGCACCTGCAGCACCTTTAGGAGCATTGCTCGATCCTAACTCCCAGCTTGTCTGAGATGTAAGATTTATAAGATTTATACAAGACCCAGGAGGAGTTTGGGGCCGCCGGCACTGAGGTGAGTTGGTTCTGCTTCACTTGCAGCACAGCTGAGCCCGTGCGTGAGCCTTGTGCGAGGAGGAAAGGGCAGGAGTGATGTGCTCTTGGTAAGAGCTAATAAAAGCTAATTCATCCCTTTGCTCCGAGACAGTAGGAAGCATTAGTGGCTGGCTGAGTGCCTCCTCCACTGCGGCAGCGTGCTGGGTGCCTCCGCCTTCCCCCTGGCTGGGAGCAGAGCGTGTCCTCCCGTGGAGGGGAAGGCTGGAGCTCTCTGTGGGAGCTGCGCCGTCTGCAGCTGCGTCAGCAGGCAGCCCATGGGGCTCTCTGTAGCTGGCATCCCTCCTGGGAAGAGAAACCAGCCAGAAAACCTGGGCAGGTGGGTCTGGAAATGAGGATGGACATGCCTCAGGTAATCTGGACTTCTGCTCCAGGCAAATGCCTTTGGCTCTGCCCCAGGGCTTGGGCTACAGCTCATGGAAGCAGAGCAAAGCACCATCCCGGATTTAGCTGGGCTATAGGAGACCCTCAAAAAGGCTGGAGCCGTTTGTGCCCAAGGGGGTGAACAAATAGGTTGGAATGCCTTTACCAAACAGCTTGTGCGCTCACCTTGTGTGCTGCATGTGCAGGTACGTGCTGTGCCACCCTGCATGCCCACCTGCCAGAGTGATTTGTGTCTGGGGCACGGGGCACAGTGGGTGAGCATCAAGTAGAACTAATTGCCAGTAATTAAAAGTGTTTTCCTTTTTTCCTCCTGTTTGTTTTCTTAATTTCTCCTTCTTATCCTCCTCCAGGTTTGGCTGTTGGAGGATGCATTTTGTGTGGTCCGTGGTAAGAAGAGAAAGCAAACAGAAGAGTCTGTTGTATTTGTGTGTCCTCAACAAATGCTGGTGGTGTTTTGTAGGGGCAAAAAAAAGAGAAGAAGAGCTGCAAAGCTTTGCAGATGAAGAGGACCGTGATGAGCAATTGGGTTGTTCCAGTGAGGGCAGCAACAGCAGGGGAGCAGCAGTTGGTGGGGATGGTCTGGAGTGTGTCTGCAGAGCTGTGGAACAGAGGAGAAAGTGTGTCTTGGAGCTGGGTGTCTCCTTGAGAGTGAGCAGCACAGCAGCAAGAGGATTGTAACCCTAATTTTTTCTCTCCATTTTTTTTTCAGGAGGTCTCCAAGCATTTTAAAAGGAAGTTAACACCACAGATTGGAAAACTTTACATTTTGAGGCTTCAGTGACTGGTTTAGAGCCAGCCAGAGGAACCTGTGAGTGCTGAGCCCTCACATTCTCCTCCCAAACCATCTGCACTCCAGACCTTGGCCTCTTTCCCAGGCCCCTGTGCTGACCAGACTGATGTTGGGGAGCTCACTGGAGGCCAGTCTTGTCCCATAGGGTGGAGGCAGGACATGTTGCCACCTGTGGCCACTGCCATCAGCTGGACTGGCTCTGGGAGGGAGGATGCTGGCACAACAAGTGGCCCTTCAAAATGAGGTTGGATTTATAGGGGTGCACTCTAGTCCCAGTCTGTGAGGCCCCTGTTCCTGCCCTGCCCTCTCTCAGCATTTTGGGAGGAGTTCACTTACAATTTCAAAACATGTGGTGCTTTTTCTTCTTTTTGCCCAGCACCACTAAGTGTCGAGTTGAAGGGAAATACAATACATCACCTTCCTCGTGGGCTGCCATTCAGCCAAGAGTAACAGAGATTAGCCTTCAATCACACGGGGGCCAGAGCTGAAGGAAACCTTCCCGAGGACACGCTGGAGAAACATTTTCATTAGTGGAGGAGAAGCTGACGGAGATGGAGTGGCCCTTCACCTCAGCTGCCAGACCTCTCGCCTGCCTGGCGTTAACAGGACAGGGAGATGCTAATGGAGGATCTGGTGCCAGCTGCAAGTCTTTAAGTGCTGTCTGCATCCAGATGTGAGGAACAGCTGTGACACAGCAAAGCAGTGCTTTTAGAGCCTGGTGGGGGTGGCTTTGTTTTGGGTTTTTTTCCCTGCCTGTGAGCACTCACTGCTGGAAGCAAAGTGGCTCTCAGTTAAAAGGGAGAAATGGGTGCTGGACCACATACCAGAATGGATACCCTGGCATGGGCCAGAAAATGATGTCCTTAGGGGATAAGGTCCATAGATCCAGGAGATATCATGGTCTCTGCCTCCTGCAATACGTTTTGCAATTTTAACAGGACTGCCTTAGTGGTAGTGGAGGCTTTCTCTGCTCCATGGAAAGCTGTTCCACAGCCTGCTGTTGCAGGCATTTGCTCTTATTTTGCATCCCCCCAGAGCAGTTGAGGTACCCAGGGTTCACTTTTGCTATTGATGTCTCCTTTGTGTTGAAGAAACACCCCCTGGACCCCAGCTGGATGCCTGGCACAGACCTGTCTGTCCTGGTTACTGGGAATTAGCCAGCAGGATCCCTGCAGCCACATCTGCCGTCCCCCACCACCTCACCTCCCTGGGGCTGGCGTGCTCCTGACAAAGGCAGGCTCCATCTCTTTCACTCACAGCTGAAGGATGCCTTGCCTGGTCCTGTCTTGCAGGTTGGAGGGAAATCGTTTTAATTTGTGTGGCACATTCCTTTGGGCGGGAGGTGGGGGGAGAAAAGAAACAAAAAAAAAAAATCCAGCAGAAACTCTGGCTGTTCTGGGTATTTTTAGCTGTTTGCAAAGGACCATTAATATCTCTTTCTCTTTTTTTTTTTTGTTTTGTTTTTAACTCCCTGCAGACCGTTCTCTCTCTCGGGGGCTGCCTGTGGTGCTGCATTAACAGCACATCTCTGTGGTGAAGGTAAGCAGGTTCTCAGTTTTCTGAGAGACTCCCAGGGAGCCTCATCTCTCCTCTTCCTGCATGCCCACCGTGTGCACAGCCCTCTGAGAAGGGGCTCCCTGGCTGGGAGGGTGAAGGCTCAGAGATATTCACACCTTCTGGGATGGGTTTTATCGGGAATGGGATTTAAGCTTCCTGACAGGGAGGCAGCACAGCCTGGCAGCCAGGGAATTGGGTTGGAACGCCAAATCAAATGTGGCTTCTGGTTTTGGAGCATTCTCACATTAAGGTACTTCTCATATCACCCTTCTCCCTTTCAGAACTGAGTGCAGCCAAAATGAGAGGAAAACCTGGCTCCTGAGCATTTCCCCCCCCAGACAATGCCTTCACCTGGCTTGTATTCCCTTTTCTCCTACAATCTCAGCTGGCTGAGTTTCAGTGCCAGCCTATTGAAAGGAAAGGCACGTGCTGGCTTATGGAGGGAGAGAGACCTGAGACAGGATAAATCTGGAGGCAATGAGATTGGGGGGAGGCAAGTCAGCTGCTCTGACACTTTTATTATGGAGCCAGGCTGCTTGGGAATGAATCTTTCTTGAAATGTGTTGCTGGATGACATTTCTGCCAGGTCTCGGCAGTAACCTTCTCCGAGCCTTGCTGCCCAGCTCTGTGCTTGCCTTTTCTTGGGACAGAGAGAAGGAATATCATCTAGAAATGCCACAGGCTCCATACACCTCCAGTCAGTTTGAAGACACATGGACTTTGGCACCAGAAGCTCCTCAAGCTTTGGTGACTTACAGCTGCATGTGCTGTTTTGCAAAGGAGGTGTCAGCCCTTATGTTTCTCATTTCAGAAACAATGAGGATATAACGGAGACCAAGATGAAATCCTCCCTGGAGTTGCCAAGAATGATGGATAACTGCAAGAAAATATTATTCTATGACTCTGGAAAAGGAAGATCTACTTTCTTAGTAACCTGGTAATGAGGTAGTGGCTCTGCTCCGTGCAGAGGCTGGGAGCCAGGGGAGATTTGGGGTTACAAAGAGGGCTGGACAGAGTTTGCTGCCCTCTCTGCTCCTTTCCTGTATCACTGTCAACTTAGATTTCACATCAAGAGGGTGATGTTATGCCTGGCGGTGACAACAGCAGAATGTCACTGGCAGAGGTGAAATCTTTCCCTCTGTGAGGGTAATTCTTCCTTTCCCTTCCCCTTGGCTTATGTCAAGGACCTCTGGCTCTCTGTGCTGAGTGGGCCACGCACACATGCTGCTCAGGGGACAACACATTCTGTGCTGAGCTTCACTTTTCCTGCTATCTTGGTAAGCAGCTCTGTGTCACTGATGCCTCTTGGCTGCGTGGTGACCCGGGACAAAGGGAAACCCCTTGTCACTGTCTGAGAGAAATTGGGGCCATTGGAATCTGCCATGTTTGCCATCATGGCAGCACTGCTCAGAGTGCTCCTCTGCCATGCTGGCACACTTATATCATCGTCAGCTTTGCCAGGGATGTCCCTTCAGAGACCATTTGTGCTCTTCAGGGGCCAGATCTGAGCTAGGTCAGAGTCTGAGGGGCAGACTTACACATGTTAAAGGGTAATGTCCCCCACAGGCTGTCTCTCACCTCCTCTGAACAGCAGCTGATCTTGCAGGAGTGTGCCTGTGCCCACCCTCTCTGGCAGCCCCTCTGCCAGCTTCTGTCCCCAAGGGCCGGTTCAACAAAGCTTAGTGTTGTTCTGGGTCCAGCTTCCATTTTCTAGCTGGTTATGGAGGAGAGGATGAAGGTTGTTGCTGCTGCTGCCAGGCCACCCTAGAAAACAGGCAGGGGACCAGCCTCTTAGTGCCCTTAAAGATCCAAGAGTTTAATCTGACCCTGGTTCTCTCTTAGCCCTGAACCTGTTGTGTCTTTTCCAGCTGGTGCCCGAGCCTTTCTTTGTTATTTTAATTTTTTTTTTTCCCTTTTCTCCTCACCTTATGAAAAATGGCTTTCCCATCTGCATCTGTCAGGAGTGTGCCGAGCCGGGGGTACGGCTCAGTGAATATACAAATGCGCGGTTGGACCGTGGCCCCCCTGACAGGCTGGAGATGAATTCCAAACGTGCAGGGAGAAGAGCTCCTGCTGCCTCTGATGGTTGTTTTTCTTATCCCGAGGAGGTGTGAGAATCGCCTTTGGGAGCAGTGCTTCCTTCTGCTCCTGTTCTGCCTTTACCAAGGATCAGTTCTCTGCCATCCAACATCAGACCAGCCCTCTCCTCGCTCCCACGTCTCAGCTGCTGATGGCAGTGCTGGAGAAGGGGGAAACTGTTTTATCCTGCTTTTTACTACCATCCTTTTTCCCCTCCCTTTTGCATCCCACCTCCTAGGCCGCTGTTACAATGCAATTGGCAGGCTGGGGCTGGAGGGCACTTGCCTTTTCTTACTGATCCAGGTAGAGGGGAGGGGATGGTTTCATATAATCATTGAATATCCTGAGTTGGAAGGGACCCAAGGATCATTAAGTCCAACTCTTAGACCTGCACAGGACACCCCAGCAATTCTACCCTGTCCTTGAGAGTGTTGTCCAAACACTTTTTGAACTCTGTCAGGCTTGGAGCTGTGACCTCTACTCTGGGGGCCTGTTCAGTGCATGACCACCCTCTGAGTGAAGAACCTTTTCCTAATATCCAACCTAAACCTCCCCTGACAGAGCTTCATGCTGTTCCCTTGAGTCCTGTCACTGGTCACCGGTTTGACCTTACCCAGGGGGCTTAAAATGTAATTTTGATTGGAGTTTTTCAGAGATGTTGTGCGTGACTCCATGTAAGATGCACTGAAAGCACCCAAGTGCTCCTGCACGTCTCAGCCTTCCCCTGCTGCAGGTGACCAGAGCTCTGGGGCTCTGCAAGGAGGAATTCACCATCTCTGAGTTGTGGAACTCTGCAGGGTCACTCAGGTACCCAAAGAGAGATGACAGCCTGCCCTGACAGCCAGGAATTTGCTGAGCTCTTTTCCTGCCTCTTGGCTTTCTGCAGTGAGGTACACGAGCTGCTTCCCTGGCCTTGATGTGCAGAGAAGCTTTCAGCCAGGTGGGCTCAGAGGAGCAGGCAGGTAGAAAATGAAATGAGTGTCTCCATGCTCTTGCCACAGCTATCTGGTCAAGGAGGGGAACTTTCTGGGTGGGCAGACCCCCTCTTTGGCAGGAGGAGAGAGCAGGCAGCTTGAGCTGAGCTGGTTTTTTTGACAAGCAGATGGATGTTCAGTGGGGACCCAAGAAAACCCTCTCGCTCCAGGCTATCTGTGAGCCCTCCAAACCAGAGCGTTGTGCTGACACAAAAGCATCGCTCCGTTGATGCTCAGCTTGAATTGCCTCTTCCAGGCGCCTGATTCGGGACACA